ACGAATGCATTTTTTCGCAAACCAGTGGGGCAGCAAGTAACTTACACTCACAGCAATGGCTCCGAGAAGCAGTTCGACTACATCCTTGCCTCCAGGCGCCTATTCCGACAATGCCGCAACGTGGAGGCGAACGACGCAGTGGACTTAGGTTCAGATCACAAGGCCGTGGTTGCGCTCTTCTGCTTCCAGCGACGCATCTCCACTGACCGGCATACGCACGACGAACAGCACCAGCCCAAGCACACATCACGACACACGACCACCCGCAGTTGGACCCACGTCAACGTTGAGGCGTATCACACAACGGCCAAAGACGTTATCTCTGCAGCAGACCTACCCCGACCGCCAGAAGAGCTCAGCAACCATATTGAGACATCCATGTTGGAAGCAACGACAAAAAACATTGCGGAGCCGGCGCAACTGAGACCGCACCTCTCGACCAACGTACACCTCCAAGCGCTGATCCAGCAGAGGCGCAACATCCCGAATGACAATACACAGTCCCGACGCGACGTCAGCAAGCAAATCCGACAAGAGATACGACGGCAAAAACGAGCAACGCGACGTACGCAGATCAGCACCATACTCGAGGACTACCGTGGACTCAAGCGCAGTACGACCATTAAATCAGGGCTGAAGCGTACACTAATCACGCAAATGCGCGGTAAGGACGACACGAAGCATACCAGCAGAGACTCAATTGCGAACGCCTTTGCAGATTTCTACGAGCAGTTGCATCACTCTACTCGACAATCTTCATCACCTGAGCCTCCTGATGACACGGTGCCGCCTTTTACAATCCACGAGCTCAACAGGGGACTGTCCAACCTCAAGCGGGGAAAAGCACCCGACACGATCGGGGTCAGAGCCGAAATTTTGAAGCATGCGCCCACAGAACTCAAACGAGCCGTGCTCCAATTATACAACGCTGTCATACAAGCCGACGCGCCCACTCCGCAGAGTTGGCGACAGACAGTCATCGCAGTAATCCCGAAAGCAGGTGGCCCCATGCAACCTCAGAACTACAGGCCAATCTGCACCATTCCCCTGCTCTACAAACTTTTCAGCAAGCTTCTACGCAATAGACTGCAGCCGCCCCTGGACAAACAACAGCCCCCAGACCAAGCAGGATTTTGCCCGGGACGTTCGACGCAAGATCACCTCTTCACTTTCCACATGCTTCGGGAGAGAGCTCGGGAATGGAACCAACCACTTTGGATCGCAACGCTGGACTTCATGAAGGCTTTCGACGCAGTCGAGCACGAGAGCCTATGGACCGCACTCAAGAGCCAAGGTGTCGCACCAAGCTACATACACCTACTCCGGAAGATGTATTCTGGCCAAACAGCCACGGTGCGGACAGACACGACCAGCCGCCCATTCAACCTGCAGAGGGGCACAAAGCAGGGCGATCCCCTTAGTTCACTACTTTTCAATTCGCTTCTTGAACATAGCATGCGTCCACTTGTCAACACATGGAAAAAGCGCAACCAAGGCATCCATCCAACTCGGCTTCAATAAAGACAGCTCTCTCACCAACCTGCGCTTTGCCGACGACGTCCTTCTGACGAGCCGCACTTTGCCGCGCTTGACGACAATGCTTGAACACATGGCCACAGCTGCACAACAACACGGCCTCCATATCCACCCGGGCAAGACGAAGATCCGGACGAATTTGACAGAGAGGACTGGGAGGGCACGGCAGCACAAGGTGAGCATCAACAGCATGGAAATCAAGATTTTACTTCACTGTGGGTCAGTCAAGTACTTCGGACAGCAGATCAGCTTCCAAGACGCCATGCAGACCGAGGTACAACACCGGATCAAGGCAGGCTGGGCAGCCTTCACTGCTCGCAAAGAGAAACTCACAGCGAAGCACTACCCCTTGAAGCACCGACTCCGGCTTTTCGAAGGCATTGTCACACCGACGGTACTATGCGGGGCGGCCACTTAGACTCTGACCGAGCCTTTGCGACAACAGTTACGATGCACCCAACGACGCATGTTACGAATGATTGTCGGCTCCCCACGACGACGCAACACCGCCAACTCGAGACCGACATCCAGTGCGACCAACCAACGCGCGACTCAAGCGACGACAGAACCGCAAACCCACGAAGACGACGCGCACGGAGAAACAAAACGCAACCGACCGTCATCTACCCACCCAAACGCAGATACCAGCACGGCTAACACCCCCAGCACCGACAACGAGGAGAACGTCGCCCCGGAGAGCATTGTCTTGGAGTCGTGGGTCGAATACAAACGCACGACAAGACAAGCAGAAAGCCTCATGCACAAGCACAGTGTGATCGATTGGAATACGAGGCAACGGCGATTGGTGTGGAGATGTGCCGCGAGAGTGGCGAAGCAGTCCCCTCGATAATGGTCTCAATGCGTGGTCAACTGGCACCCGAGCCTCCATGCTTCTCAAAAAGGCAGCAGGAATTCGGGAGGACAGCAAAAGCGATTGGATGACGACGTGCGTGATTTTCTCGTA